CCCCCTCCCCCCCCCCCCCTCCGCCCCCCCCCCCCCCCCCCCCCTGCTCATCTGGTGACTTGGTGCCATATGCTGGATCTAACAAGCCAGTCACTTTATGGCTCCATTAAATCAGCTTTATGAAATCTAGCATCTCGTACTCTTATATAAGACCATAAGAATAGTATTCTCATTTATAAGAGAATAAGAATCTTATTCTCATACATAAGTACAAACATAGCACACTGCTGTAATGTAGAAGGACAGTAGAATATAAAGAGTTAAAAAGGCCGGATTCTAGCTATAATTCTGTGATTGCTCATTAAGAGGAGTTTTTAGGCTGAATAAAAAAAACACATGCCTCTCTGTTAGAGGATCACTAAACATGACAACGACCACGAATGGCACCTGTTTCAAGTTAGAGCAATGGGAACATGCTGTGCCGTTTATTTTTATTTTTTATTCCAAATATTCACTCACCTGTTTTCATGTAAAAGGTCGCGGGGCTGCAGTTCCCACTAAAGTATCCCCATGGATGTGTGTTGTGACCGGGCTTTGTATCCACATAGAGTCCAATGACGCGGACGTGTAGTGCGGACTGTCCTCCCGGTGTGTCAGCAGACTGAGGGTGCAGGGCGCCTGTGCGCTGAGAGGAAGGGGAGAGAGAGAGAGAGAGGGGGGGGGGGGGGGGGGGAGAGACACACACACACGCGCCCGCACGCGCGCACACACACACTGAGAGACGCAGGCGGCGACCAACCCCACTCACCCTGATCACCTTAAACCGGAGGCAGCTCGTGGGCAGCTCTCCGGATACAAAAAACAGAAAAGTCGGTTTGACTCAGTGTGTGTGGATCCCCGCCCCGGCCGGTGAGCTGAGCTCCTCCCGTCCCCCACAGGACCTCCGCTGGGGGGAGCGCAGCGCGCTTCTCCCCTCTCCGTCGCACGCACCGCAGATTGACACGTGCGCTGATCGTCGGAGCCTCGGCGCGGTGTGAAATCATGGCACGAGCCGGGAAATTGCATGTGCGGAATCAATCAAACTGTTCGGTAAATTTGCGACATTACCACGTCTCCATGAGTGTTTAGTGGAAACATTTGCACTACGCTTCCTCCACGTACATCCTTTTTTTTTAACGCATCACGGCTGCTTTATATAAATCGCCTATAAGCTGCTATTTATATACTATGTATGCATTAAACTCCAGGTGCAAGTCAAACAGGCCACCTGTCGAGGAGTTCCCTGTTCGGCTATAGGTGAACAGAACATGTAGATCTGAGACTAATCTTCATCCAAATTATAAATTGTACAAAACAACATGCGTTGGCTCAATCAAATGTACATTTAAAGCTCGTGGGCATTTTCTCTATACGTTTCTGGTGTGACTGAAATCAGTATTTTTCTTTCACATAGCGCCATCTAGTGGATTTATCTTCACGTTGCAAATGTTCCCAAGAAAAAAAGAGGAATATATTCATGGGTGTATAGGTTTGTACCATTATTTATATTTGTTCTATATCATCCTGTACAGGGTGTGGATCCTAATATTCTTGTAGATTGCGTATCGCTCATTGATTTATTTTATTTCATGCCAAACATTTGGCCACGCGGGATTACAAAGACAAAAGTATTTTTCATACATTTTCTGGTCTTGCATATACAAAGCATGTAGAAAGAAATGCAGAAAACAGAAAGCCAAAACAAAAACGATTCAATATCTGCAGATTATCTCGAGCTCTTTCTCTCGTGTTATATCGGTAACAATATAAAGGCCAGGTAACAAAATGTCTGAAATAAACAACATTAAATAAAAAGAATGACGTGAATCAGTCTTCTTCACGCCAAACTAAATAATGTGATGAATTTTCACTCGACAAGAGGCCTCATTGATTTAAAGACATTGAAGGAAGACGTCTCCAGCGCTTCCTTTATAGAGGAGGGAATGTCTGGGTAATGATGAGCGTGACATCACCATCTATTTCACAAATTATCTCCGTCGTTTCCCAGGTGCCTCTCATTAACGGCGAGAGGATGGATGTGGACTCGTATTTTATTTTTGTAAATAAAAGGCCTCTATTCATCACTGCTCGACTTTTATAGTGGGCGATTGCTTCTGAAAGCTGTTCCGTTTTGTTCCTTTTGTCAGTCTGATGGTGACATCTTTTCTTCTGTCTGCGGGTCAAAAGAAAACCCACAAAGTACATAAGTTATTTACAGCAGATACATTCACACTGTTTCTGTTATTAGCTGTTTATTTCCCAAATGTATGATGAGAATTATGACTTAGGCAGCAGCTGAGTTTCACCACATTTTAAAGGGACAGTTCACCCCAAAATCAAAAACGCATACCGTTACCACATTACCTGCAGTGCTATTTATCATTCTAGATTGTTTTGGTGTGAGTGGCCTTTGGAAATATCAGCAGTAGAGATGTCTGCCTTCTCTTGAATATAATTATAATTCTGTGGTGCTCAAAGCGCCAAAATAATACATTTGATAAACTTAACAGCAATGTCTCTTTCCAGAAATCATGACCCGGTTACTCAAGATAATCCACAGACTTGTTGTGAGCTGTTTCATGAGGGAACCAGGGTTGAAAGAAAATAGTTCCTACATGAAGAGATCGCTGGTAAGAGGAAAGATATGTATTTTTGACTTGGGGTGAACTGTCCCTTTAAGCACTGGCAGGCTGTTCTCATCTGGCAAAATAATGACGCCCCGTGACGATATCCTGCAAAATCTTTTCCTATGTTATTCAACAAAATATCTTTCACTCATGAGACGGCTGCTCGTTGCACATGGTTATTTTAACCCAAACTATGGACTTTTCCTCAACGTAACCGAATAGTTGTGTTGCCTAAACCTAAGTATTTCACCATCTTTAATTAAACCTAAGTATTTCACCATCTTTAATTAAACCTAACTATTTCACCATCTTTAATTAAACCTAACTATTTCACCATCTTTTACTAAACCTAAGTATTTCACAATATTTTATTAAACATAACTAAGTATTTCACCATCTTTAATTAAACCTAACTAAGTATTTCACCATCTTTTACTAAACTTAAGTATTTCACAATATTTTATTAAACATAACTAAGTATTTCACCGTCTTTTATTAAACCTAACTCAGTATTTCACCATCTTTAATTGAACCTAAGATGGAAGTTTATTATAGAGAAGACTTTAATTAAACATGTTACTGTAATGAAGAGAAATTGACACGTGTTGGTGTCTTTCATAGGAAATGAGGAGTAACTTATCCTCACATACGAACCATTGTATGAGGATACGTTGGATAACTTATTGAGATGAAAGAGATGCAATTATTTGATATTATTACCACAACCCTAACCCAGTGCAGTGCCGCTGAGTGAATAAAGCTTATATATTATACCTTATACCTCGAGGGACACGTTGCAGTATTAAGTCTTATGAAAACCTAACTTTGAGAAAGCTATAGAAGACAAATATGGCCGATTATTGTTTAGTCTGTCACCCATGCAAAAGCAACTCTATTGGAGCTTCACGACACCCTTTGAATTGATCACTTAACCATAAAAAAGGTTGACGGAGTAACTGTGGTCCATTTGGTCCAGAGTCAGAGTGATGTGTTGGTTTTCAAACAGCAGGAGGTGCTGTGTGATTCCAAATCCATCTCACAGAGACAGGGTGCTTTGTTATTAAATAAAAAAAGGAAAGACAAATGCAACCACTATTATGGTTGTGTGGGTCAGACCGCTGCCAACCATCCGTCATGTTGATGTGGCTTTAAAACAGCTAAGGTGCACTGTCGGATATGACAACAGCCATCAACTGGGGGTCGGGAATTGTGATTGCATCAATACACTTGGCACACGTAATGCAGGGATGTAATAAACACAGTGAGATCTGCACTGAATCACTGCTGGACAAGCTGAGGGAGCGACACTGTGTGTGTGTGTGTGTGTGTGCGTGTGTGTGTGTGTGTGTGGAGTGGAAAAGGTGTTAGGGTAAAAGAGAGGGAATTACATGTTCATTTTATGGTTTGAATCCAACTTTTAGTGACTGAACGACACGCCGGAGGCACGCAGATTTATAATTTAGTCAGTTTAAGCCTGAAGTGCTTGCATGTGTTTTCATTGTCATGTGATAATTTCCCAAAATCAAATCAAGCTGGAAATTAGATAGTGTTGTCAAATTCACAAAAGCGCCAATTTCAGCCGTGGAACACAGACCCCCACCCTTTGGCACACACACAATGTATATCACCCTGCTTGTCTGGGAGCATTGAAGCTCAACAAATGCCTCTCACACTAAATGGCACTGAAACAACGAGAGATGACACAAGGGCAAACAACCGCAATTACTGAGGCGCGGAGCGTCCTCTCCGGTTCCTCCCGTGCACACAACAAACACGGCTCAACGTTCTCTGCGTCGGATCTTCACGCTGCCGCTTAGCTTTGTCCTGACACATGGTGATTGAAGACATACTCCGCTTTCGTCTGCGCCTCAGAGCTCGAGAGTTTAGGTCGCAGGACGAGGGTGGCCCTTTCATCAGAGCTACTTCTGCGGGGGCTTGATCTCCCTGGAAGCCGCAAAGGAGCAACGGTTTGACATTCCTTCTTTTGATGTCCATCAAACATTCCTCCTACAAACTTGACTATAACTTCCTTTTTTTAAGAAGTCACAGGATAAAGTCTGCAGAATCTACAAGTGTTTCAACGTCTGTACCGGCTAAAAGAATGAAACATAGAAATACAATGTGCACAGACACACAGCGGACTGCTGTATAGTGTGTTTACCTCTGTGACAATGATTTGCATTTAGATGCAGAAGGGTGATGTGTATTAGAAGGCACATTTCCATAAATCTTCCTTTGAAGACATATAGCATTGCTTTGAAGTGAGTGTATTATTTTGAACAATGGGTGAGAGGGAGACTTTGGACAGAACAGACTGCAGTTGGAATACTAATATGAGATTTAGTATTAAATAGCTTACAGAACACAGATTGTGTTCATCATGCTCTCCAAATGTGCTGTTTGTCGTTATGGGCACTGAGGATGATGAGTTACTATATTTACCACATTTCTATTTCTTCAGTGTATTACATTTCCTATTTCATCCACTGCGTCTTTTCCGATCAGTCAATGACACATCATTAGTGCTGTTTGTACAAATACTGTAAAAGAAGAAAGAAATTGAGTCGAGGAAACACGATACCGCAGACACAGAATGATCAAAAGTAAACCGAATGAAATAAGGAAATTGATTGACGTTTTTTTTACAAAAAGACGAGGTTAAAGCAGAAACATCTTAGACAGCTTAGAACAAAGTGATGAGCTCCCCTCTGAACCACAGGGGGGCTGTTCCATCTGATTAAAGGCACTTTTAGTTGTATGTTTGATATTTATATCAAAGGTGAGATCACTGTCCAAGAAAAGCCATCTGATATTCATCACAGCCTTCAATGTTTCACAGCTGTCACTGAACTCCTCCGCTTGGCCAGTCGCTCAAAGCGACTATAATCAATATTTTTGTATCAACCGACGATGTGAAAATAATGTGAGGATTTGAAAGCAGCTGCTCAAAGTGAGGAACGATCATCTGAGTCCGCTGCTCTCTTCTGCTTTACTGAGCTTTATATAGAATCTCTGCTCATTGTTCTGCTGTCTGTTTGGGTT